GGTGGTATCTGATGCGGCAGCGTCTACCGGATTTGCTGCTATTTTTGGCACCCAATGGTTTGCCAGTGCCTGGCCGGAGTCGGTGAGGGGATATCCCCTCGTTTTTTGAAACATCTACTTTATTTGAAATCCATCCAATAGTGGCTGCAGCCGTTATTTGGGGCCCATCGTGGACTGGTCACACCGTGACTTTCTTCACGGACAACCACGCAACGGCAGATATTGTCAATAAGGGGAGGTCCAAGTCATTAGTGCTCATGTCTTTCCTCCGTCGATTAACATGGGTGTCAATTTAATATCGTATGTACATTCATTCCTGGTACACGTAATGTGGCGGCCGACGCGTTATCCCGCTTAAAACTCCATCTTTTCTTCCAACAGATGCCAGACGCAGACCCCATCTCTGCAGCGGTACCGCAGTTTCATCAGCTTCGCTTGGATTAGCCAGACACCAAGGCAATGCCGCTAGTCTCATTAGGCACTCGCTATCAGACAATACTCGTAAAGCTTATGCCGTGGCTTGGCAGCTTTTCAGCAAATTCCAGCTCACACACAACACCCCTGGTCCGGGCAGCGTCTCCTACATTCTGGCCTTCATTGCATACTGCCACACTGATTTAAAGCTGGCATATACTACCATCAAGATGTATTTGGCAGGGGTGCAACATCATTTGGCCCTCAGATTCCCTGATAGACCCTCTTTGTTCTCAGGTCATCCGGTAAAAGCCATATTAAAGGGTATCCTAAAATTGCACACCGCAGCGGTGCCAACCAGATTACCCATATCAGGGGATACGTTTCGGGCTCTGTCCGATTCACTGGATCGGGAGCCATTTGGCGTTTTGCAGAGCTTGGTTCTAAAGGCTGCAATGTATCTCGCTTTTTACGGGTTTCTGAGGCCGGGGAGGTCACGCAGGTCAATGATAAATCTCAGGTATTATTAAAGAAGCATCTGGTTAGGCACCCCAGTCATTACGTTTTGCTGTTACCACATAGCAAAACCAATCAAATCGGCGGCCCTACAGAGGTAACGTACTTTCCTTCTAGCAATGCCTGGTGCCCGGTCAAAGTGTTGGACCAATTGCAGTCCAAGTTATCGCAGCTTCCTGATGCAAGTCCTTTATTGCCTTTCCCGTACAACCCACTATCCTCCAACAAGCTCACGGGTCACGTTAGGGTGCTCCTCTCGCGCTTGGGGTGCAATCCCAGACAATTTTCAGGGCACTCGTTCAGGATGGGGGCTGCTTCGGCAGCATCAAGGCAGCAGGTTCCAGCTCATGTAATTAAACACTTAGGTAGGTGGAAGTCATCGTGCTTCAGCAGATATATACCGAACCCGCACGTAGAAATGGCGCAGGCTTTCACAAAATTGGTCAATTGAGATGGAATAAATAAGTTACCCTACTACACATTTGTTTTGCCCCCTTATTTGGCGTACTGACCATAAAAATTATGGCACATTTCAGGTTGTGTGGGGTAGGGAGGTCAACATGGCGTGGTGTATATCATGTACAAAGCGGGGCAACATGCGGGGCCCGCGAGATTCCGAACACAAGTTTGAGGCTTATAACATTAGCCGAGTTTGTGGGAGGAGTCGGAGCCTCCAAGGCCCTTAAACACGGAGAGGAAGGTGGACGCCTCTGCTGCTGACCTCCAGCGTCCCATCCCCATTATTATTACTAGTATTACGCAAAGCTTACTAGAGTATGCCCCCTACATGGCATACCTCAGGTTGTGTGGGGTAGGGAGGTCAACATGGCCTTGGTGTATATCATGTACAAAGCGGGGCAACATGCGGGGCACGCGAGATTCCGAACACAAATACACTTGTAGAATATTTTGCACATTTTTGGTGGAAGTGTGCTTATCTCCCTCCAATCGAGGTACACAGACCTGCCGTGCCGGTCCCGTGACCGTACTGGGGACAGCAGAACCTGGGGCACACACTCCCCAGCACTATACAAGTGATCGGGCGGCTATAGACTGCTTGTATGTGACAGTCATCGCTGGCTGTAAAAAATGATAACAGCCGCTGTGATCTTTGTATAACCGCTTCAGGTTGCCGCTGTTTATATACGTACGGCGGCCCTGAAATGGTTAATAGAGCATAAGTATGGTTGTTGTTTGTGCCTCTGTATGACAAGGTTAAAGCAGCTTTTGTTCCACACATACATCTGGCTTAACAGCTCTGCCATCTAGTATTTCTCACAAAGTCCATGCTAAAAATGAATTAAGATCTTCACCCAGCATTTGTGTGAAACAGGACATGTTCACAAAGTATTTAAGGGTCACTGGGAAGGGAGGCGGGGGGATTAGTTATCATACATATTACACTGCACCAATAGTATAATAAATGCATGCTTTTCCTGACCTCCCAAACCTGGGACTTTCATTGGCTCCACAACTGCCAAAAATGGGCCTACATCATGAGAAAAACCTCTAGGCTGACATTGCTGATCTGCTTTTAAAAAGGCTACTTTTCTGGCTGTCCTGCAGATCCTCTTCTTCACTTCAATCCATTGAGCCACTGACTTAGACCAAGAATACAGATAAATACTTCTGACTTTTATGATTGTGTTCCCAGATAGCAAGGATAACTTGCCACAAACTTGTGACAGGGTTAAATTGTAATTCTTGTTAACCTGCTGCACACATTCCTGGCAAGTTGTAGACTTGCAGAAAACTTGCAGCACAAGTTCTAGTTGACACTTTTTGAATTTGTAGCAAATTTGCTTGGCAAGTCTGCAGCAAGAGTCCTGCAGGTGTTAGCAAGAGCCCTGCAAGTGTACGGCACTTTTGCAAAGCACGTTGATCTGGAGACTTGCAATGCATACTTGCTGTAATTGTGCAACAAAATTGTGAAGCTTGGTAAGTCTAGCAATAGTTTAGCAAGTCCTTTTATAACTTGCAGCTCAATTGCTTGCTATCTGGGTTCTTGTTTCAGGTCGGTGACTAACAAAATATTGAAGTCAGTAGTTCAGCATAGTACAAGTCAACATCCATTTTCAGAAGTGAGCCAGCAGTCCTGATATTTCTCACCATAGGTTTACTTCAAGGGGTTATGTGTATTTTCAAGCATTTTCATCTCACATTATTCTCCAAGAGAATGCCAACGGGAAGTGCCAATGAGTGTTTTCAATGCCTTATTTCCAAGAAATATTAAAACAGGATAATGTGACTTCCAGCCATATTAGTAGTCAAGAAGGAAATTGTTTTGCTCTTTGAGACATAATTGTATCTTGGGTTTTCTTTGCTTTCCTCCAGGTCAGCATTTCTCAACCCTTTTGCAGTCATGGCCTTTAAAAGTATGCAAAACCTTGAGGCACCCAAGTCTAAGTCCTGCCAAGTCTAACTCCCTTCACCTCAAGAGCCCCCTTCACATCAGAAGCCTGCCTCCACCATAGAAAGGCATAACACTGCACACATTTTTCGAGGCACCCCTGGTTGAGTGAGGTTGCAGTAGATACACAGAGTATAGATTCCTAAAGCAGATCTCAGAAAACCTCACATATTGGTGAATTAATCCAAATGACTGAACCTTATTTGGGACTTCACAATGGATTAAAGTCGGAGTCACTGTGATTTGTTTTGCAAATAATTGTAACTGCTGTTCTGCTTATTGCCAAATAGAGATATTTATTTTTAAAACATACTTGTGAGTTTTTCTATAACTTATTTCTACACTGGTGGACACAGGGGTGGTAGTTGGTAGAACTTAATCCATGAAGTCAGGGAAAGTGAATATCCAGTAAGGGCTAGTTCACAGCAAGAGCGGAGCAGGTGCAGAGCAGAGCTGTTACAGAACAGATCAAAACTGCGTCCAATGTATTCCAATGGTATTTTGGGCTCTAGTTCACACCGCAGCGTTCAGTTCCAGAGCATGTAAAAAAACTGCAGCAAGCCCTATTTTTCCTGCTCTGGAACGCATGCAAATGCATCAAAAGCGCATGCAAACGCCCTGGAACACACTGAAAGCCCAAATAGAGCTTGCTGCAGTTTTTTTTACATGCTCTGGAACTGAACGCTCTGAAGAAGAAGCTCCAGGGACTGGTCTAGCAGCCCAGAGAGTCGACTGGATCGTGGAGCAGGTGAGTATATCTGCTTTATTTGAGCCCCCTAGACAAACCGTGCACATAATCCTTGCAACGTGGGGGTAGCTCCACTGCAAGGGTATGCTTTTTCTTTAACTGGAGTTCTCCTTTAGGGCTTGCTTCCACCAGCCCGCGTGTCTACTGCAATGCCCCGTGCCCGGAACGCAAGGGATCGCATAGATAAAGTCTCCTTGCGTTCTGGGGTGGGAGGAGGCATGGCAGTGCTATTCAAGTCAATGGCACTGCAGACACGCCCCCCACAGTACGATCAGCTGCACAGGGATGGGTGGTAATAAAATGCCCTGCGTTCCAGTTCGGTGGGATTGCAAAAAATAGTGTATGCGGGCGTGCCTGCAGTGCCATTGACTTGAATGGCATTACCACGCTCCCTCCCGCCCCAGAACGCAAGGAGACTTTATGCAATCCCATGTGTTTCCGGGCACGGGACATTGCGGTAGATGCGTAAGCTGGTGGAAACAAGCCCTTAAAAAGCTAATAGACAAAATAATGTTCCAAAAACATAATGTGCAGAACATACAGTATATATCATTGTTGATCAATAGTCTATTTTTGTTGAATGAAAAAGAAATGTGCGTTGTGAGGTTCAAGTAAATGTAGAAACCAAGTACACACTGCAAGGGTAAGTTTTTTGCTTGCCTGCAGTTCTTCTTTAATCAATTTATCAGAGAGTTGATCAGGAGGATGTGTCAATTCAGGAGACGTTGTTGCAAAGGGAAGATGAATATATTTGCTATGTGGCTAACCCTTTCCCAGGTTTCCTATCACAGCAGTCTGCGTGTGGCTCAATCAGTCGCAGCAGACTGAATGTGTGTCACCCAGGCTCAGCCCTACTACATCTCTCCTCCCATCTCCTTTGTTTCTCCACCTTGTCATGATGTCACAGGCCGGGTTTGTCAATGATCATTTAGCCCAGTGAGTGAGCAGGTGAAGACAGAAGCACCAGAGGCAGCATCCTCATCCCCTTCATCTAATGCTCATTGCCTAGACGCGGACTGTAGCAGCTCTGCTCCCTGATCACAATGGGATTGTTCTGCTGGACTGGATGCTTTGCTATCTGCCTTCAGTTGCTGCTGGGAACAGCTTTGAGCAATCTGCCCACATGCAATGAGGTGAGCCTGGGATTTTTTTTTCTAAGCCTATTACATGAGACCTTCTGGCAGCTGACAATTTGCCCTATATTACCGGAGAGCTAAGCAAGCCCTTTGTTGTCCATGGCTGGTGAATTGGCCCTTCTGCCTGCAGGGAATTATCTATATTTGCACTGTTCAGCAGGGCAGGGTTCTATATAGCTGGCAGAGCAAATACACCTTGCAGAGCTTCATTCCTGCTGGCTGAGCCCACATGTTCCTGCCTATTGGGCTAGGCCCTGTGAACACTGGGCTGCATCTGTCAGCCCTGTGCAGTAAGCTTTGATTCTATGATCCATATGTCCTCTTAGATGGTTGTATGGAGTCACATGTACCCATTACACTAAGTCATCCGGTGAACACAGTGCATTGGACACGTCTCGAATACATCCCATGCAATGCAATCATTATAGAGCTGATCTGATTCTTGTGACTCCTATTTTGTGTTGTCTGTACACTCTGATTAATAGGATGAGGGGAAAGCGTTTCCTCTTCCACTGGCACATCCTGACAGTGCTGCCTGGAAAGTGGAGACAAGGCTTCCTGCTGTCATTACACCAGGGAGGCTGATGAGACCTGCCAGGGAGACATTGCTCTTATTTGTGTTGGTGGGTTTGTTTATAAATTTAGGAGACAAAGCAGAAACAATCCCTTTTACTAGATATAACAACAGGAAGCATTTTATGCACAGGAAGCACCGCACACATTACAATCTGATTGCACAATCTTTATACCTGCCAACATGTATGCAGTGCAAAGGTTGCCTGATGGGCTACACATTGACTGAATAGTGTAGGTAGGTATATGACATCGTTTTTGTAGATGTTCTGCCTTGCGTTGACATGCGTTAGCAATTCACACCAGTCCGTTGTGTTGCCCTGAAAAAATGTAGAGGGCAGCGCAATGCAACGCACTGGTGTGAACTGCTCCCATGTACACCCATTCATTTTCAGGCGTCCTTGCATTGTATGTGTATGGTGAGCCTAAGGGTTTACTATACAGCACATATTATAATCTGACCATACAATCTCTGCACAATCAATGTTAGATCTACTAACAAGTATGTAGTACAAGGGCCTGACTGATTGGTTACAAATGGAGTGGACAGTTTGGGTGTATTGTTATCGTACACATTTTTGGTAGATTTAAGGTGGCCATACACTGTACAACCATCGCAAGACCTTAGTCTTGCGATGGTTGTACAGGGATTAAAAAAACGTACAATCTGCCTATCTTGGACAGGCAGATCGCACTCTCGATCATTGCAAGCCCGCCCCCATGAGGGGCGGGCTTCCGATGACCGCAATGCTGAACGGTCAGTGTGTGCGTGCGCACACCGGCCCGTTCGGCATTTGTCTTCCGAGCACCGTTCTAACCAGCCGTGAATCGTACGATTCCCGGCTGGTTTTCGAACATGCTGGTTCGACGGAAGACGTGCGACCGTACAGTAGAAACGGTCGCACGTCTCCGTTCACACTGCTCGATTCTCGTACGATCGCGGGATTTCCCGCGATTCTCGTACGAGAATCGAGCAGTGTATGGGCACCTTTAGGGTGGATTGGACAGAGATTATACAATCAGATTTTCATTTGTATGGTGAGCCTAAGGGCTTGTTCACACCAAGTGCGGAGCAGGTGCAGAGCAGTTACAGAACGCATCAAAACTGCGTCCAATGTATTCCAATGGTATTTTGGGCTCTAGTTCACACCACATCGTTCAGTTCCAGAGCATGTGGAAAAACTGCAGCGTACCCTATTTTGGAACGCACAAAAACGCATGCAAACACATAAAGAATGCATGCAAATGCCCTGGAAGGCACTGAAAGCCCATTTTAGACAACGTGGCAAAAACGCAGCTAAACACACTGCACTGCACGTGCAGATCTGGTCTGCATTTGGCGTGAACAAGCACTAAGGGTTTCCCATACACATTATAATCTGACCATACAATCTCTGCGCAATCAGCTGTAGATCTACTAACAAGTATGTAGTAAAAGGGCCTGTCTGGTTACAAATTGATTGTATAGTGCAGGTAGGTCCTCATATTACATAGTTTTGGTAGAGTTAAGGTTGATTGTACAGTCAGAAAGTGTTCAGTCAGATTATAATGTTTATAGTAAACATAGAGATTTACCATTCACATTGCAATCTGACTGTACAATCTATGCACAGTCAGCTTTAGATCTACTTACAATTATGTAGTAAAAAAGCCTGGCTGGCAATCAATGGATTGGATAGTGTAGGCGGGTCCTCATATTACATTGTTTTGGTAGATTTAAGGTTGATAGTACAGAGATTATACAGTCAGATTGTAATGTGTATAGTGAGCCTAAGGGTTTACCATACACATTGCAATCTGACCATACAATCTCTGCACAGTCAGCTTTAGATCTACCAAAGCTATATAATACGAGGACCGACCTAATCTATCCAATCAATTTATATCCTATCAGGAAGGCCCTTGTACTACATACTTGTTGGTAGATCTAAGGGAGATTGTACAATCAGATTGTAATGTGTGTGATAAGTTTAATAGCAGTCATGTTAGAGTCTCCTTTCTGAATAGTGAGAATAAGCTGTCATGTTAGTGCAGTATTCTGCTCACCAATGAAAGCTGGTTCCCCTGTTTTGGTTACTTTTAAGAACAACGAAGCCTGGGCCTGTTAGAAAACCTTCATGCTATAGACACAGGCTTGTTCAGTAGGACGCTGGAACCTGTAGCATTCATTTTGACAGGTTAGACTGAAATCCGATTGGTATTTGTTACTGTACTTTGCATGTCATGATTGCCCTTACACTTGTATAGTGTACCCTCTTAGGCCCTGATACAGAGTGTGTAGATCCCCGGTGCCCAACCTGTGCCCCAGGGCCTTTTGCTTCTTGTTGTGTGGCTCGGGAGACCCCAGCACTCAGTAGGGGGAAGCTTTGATTTGTAAAGTGATTGCAATGCCAGTGATCTCTAGCAGTCTTGTGTAATGTGTTCCACAGTCTCTGTCTCCAGCCACAGTAGTAGCATGTCTGCAGTCCCTGACCATCTCCTGTAGTCCACAAACAATCATCTGTAGAATCTCATGTATATTATGTGTGGCCCTTTGTTGATGTCAGGGCCCACAGTGAAAGCAAAAGTATGGAGAAAATCATATAGAGACAACTGTGATGATTCACAGGGCCTTGGAGCGGAGGAGGAGACAGGTTGACGGGACCAGTCTAGGAGTCAGCCTGGATCACAGTTCGCTCCCTAGACAAAACAAGCACTTAACCCTTTCAGTTCTGGGGTAGCCCCACCACATGTCTTACGATTTTATCTGCCCAGAGTTCTTCTTTAAAGTCTATCTGTAGCCCAAACTTTTTTTTTTTAAGTTTTGGATAAATTGGGGAAGGATTAGAACTCCTGTGAGGTTTTACCGCCATTGGAGGCTGCATTGGAGACATTTTGCCTCACTTCCTGTCCTGAGAACACCCTCTTTATGTGACAGGAAGTGAATGAATCTCTTCAACTGCAGGAAGAAATAAACAGAGCTACTCATTAAAGAGTGAAGAGTTTGGAGAACTCAGGAGTAGTGAACAATCTAGGACAACATAGCTGAACTGGAAAGTGAGCTGAACTGGAGAATTTTTCAAAATCATCTATTTTATCCTAGATTGTTCCCTTCTCCTCCTTTCTCCAAACTCTTCACTCTTTAATGAATAGCCCTGTTATTATTTCCCTGTTGCAGATTTTCCCTCTCTTCCTGTCTGGTAAAAGGTCCCAAGAACAAAAGTAAGGGCTAAACTTTCTAATTCAGCTCTGGATAGCAGTTCTAACCTCTCCCCATTCTATCGAAAACCTAAAAAAAGAGTTTTGGGTGCAGATACACTTTAAAGCAGGGGTGAGGAACCTCTGGCCCTCCAGCTGTGGTAAAACTACAAATCCTATGATGCATCTGTCTCTGAGAGTCATGCCTGTGAGAATCCTGCAGTGGCTCATGGGATTTGCAATTTCACCACAGCTGGCGGGTCGGAGGTTCCCCACCCTTGCTTTAAAGCAAAGCAACAGGTTTAATAAAATCCCCCAGCTACTCAGAATATAAATACTTTTTTTTATCTCTCCGCTGCTTCGTTCAGCATCGGGAGAGATGGAAATACCTGGTCCTTCTGTGTATGGAAGAACATGTGACCCATTCTGTGTTTCAGAGGTGTCACATGCAGAGTCCATAGCCATGTTGTAAGCTACGACACTGACGGCTGCTGACAGCTGATCTGTGTGGCGGGGGAGCAAAAGGAAGGCAAGGATATGCTGCTCAGGAGGGCTAAGTAACTGTGTATTCTAATACAAGTAATATAATATAATAATAATAATAATAATAAAAAAGTAAGGGGATGTGTCAGAAAACAGTGTTTTTGGTTCGGTTCATTCAATTCAGTAAAAATGAAAAGTGAAGCCTTGAAAAGCAAATGTGGTGCAGCATACCTGTTCGGGTATGGGATTTACATCTGGGCACAAATGTATACTTCGGAACCATGGTAAATGACCCGACAATGGCGAATTTTTAATGGGCGGGCATATACCAGAATCAGTAAAATCTTCGGAGCAGCCTGGATTTTTGTAAAGATTTTTCACCATCCGCATAGGGATCACTGTAATGTTTAACCAAACAGACATCTTAATACTGCAGTGAGGTTCTGAAACTGTTATGTGACCATGTCAGACCTTCCACGATTGGCTGCAGTTCCAGAACGTCTGACCAAGCTGCGGTGCTTGCATGGTGGTGGGCTGGGGAGAAATGGGTTAGTCGATCATCTGGGTCTCCCAGAGGAGCAGATTGAGCAGCACCTGCAGGATGATCTCCGCTGCAAGGGTTAATTTTTTTACATGCACAGAGTTGTTCTTTAAAATTAGAAATTAAATCTAGATTTTCTGTACAAACAAGAGGAGAGCTGAACTAAAAATGCAAATATATATTCAAACTCCATTTGCAGTATTCATGCAAACTTTACAACTTT